CCCAAGAAGAGATGGGGCTTCCTCCTTTTGTGTATTATTTCCAATAAAGTGCTGAGCCAAAAAGTAATGAAAACTTTTTATTCAACAAAAGAGATTCCAGAAAAAGGATGAGGACAAAAAGATAAAAGTTGAGAGAGATAAAAAAAAATGTTCAAAAGATAAAAAAAAAAAAATAGATAATGAATAAAAAAATAATCCAGATCAAAAAAAGTAAAATATGGGATAAAAAAATAAAAAAATAAATAGGTCCCAAAAACAAAAAAAAAATAAGGCGCCGAAAATAAAAAATAAAATAAAATAAATAAAAGAAAATAAAGTAACACTAGTGTTGTATTTGTGATACCCAAACCTATTTCCCATCTTCCACATCTTTATTTATTTATACCCCGCTCCACATTTCTTTCACTTTGACATTTTGACAGGTACTACCCTATACCTTATTTTATTCATACTTCATCACCCGCTAAATTACTTCCCCAACATCACTTCAGATTATCCCAATTTGTAACCATTTCACTATGACTCACTTAGCTATAGAAAAAGATATAAATATGACATGTTTGAATATTAAATAAAAAGAGTAACCAATTGTATCACTTATTTACCTTTGCGTTTATTTCAACTAGTATAATCTACCAGAAAGACACAGATCAAAGTTCAGAGTAACCTAGATAAGGAGTCGGCCGGGTTGTCTTTCCCTTTCTTGTATATGATATCGTAATCGTATTCCATAAGAGAGGCAGCCCACCTTTGCAACTTGGGTGTTGGGTTGGAAGATATACACCAGAGCGGCATGATCAGTTCGTAGTTCAAATTTTCGGCCAACCAAGTAATGTCGGAAATGATCCACGGACCACACAATTGCAAGAGCTTCAAGATGAGTAGCAGCATACCGTTCTTCCGCACCATGGACAGTTCGACTTGCATAAGCTATCACCGTTTCTTTTGAGGGGTCGCTGACAGGATGTTGGGAAAGGATTGCACCTAAGCCACATGCGGATGCATCAGTGGTCATCACTTGGATTTGATCGCGGTCAGGGTAAGCAAGTAATGAGGGAGAAACCAAAGCAACCTTGAGACGTTCCACAGCGGCCATACATCGTTCATCAAAAACAAATGGGACATCAGATCGTAGGAGTTTCGTGAGAGGAGAAGCGACAGCAGCAAAATCAGCAATAAAACGTCGATAGTATCCAGCGGTACCAAGGAAAGACCAAATATCAGCAACATCTTCAGGGTAATGCATTTCCAAAATCTTTTCCACGTTTCGTTGACAGGGAGCCAAACCATCACCGTGTACTACATGTCCAAGGTATTCCACAGAAAAGCGACCAAAATGACATTTCGATTCCTTCAACCGAAGATTTGCTTCATCACAAGCCTTGAAAACCAGAGCCAAATGCCGTTTGTGTTCATCCATGTCAGCCGAAAAAATAATAATGTCGTCAATAAAAACATATACAAATACACCAATGTACCCTTGAAGGAGTGAAGTCATTGTCCGTTGGAAAGTAGATGGTGCACACATAAGTCCAAAAGGCATCGTCAGAAATTCATATGTCCCACGTTTCGTCACAAAACCAGTTTTTTCAATGGAAGATTGATTCATGGGAATTTGCCAAAACCCGCTAGCTGCGTCCAGAGTCGAAAATACCTTGGCACCACCAAAAGAATCCAAAAGATCGTCAATGTGAGGTAAGGAGAAGCTATCCTTGATAGTCAGTTGATTCAGTTTTCGGTAATCCACAACCATCCGCAAACCACCGTCGCGCTTCTTCACAAAAAACACCGGACTTGACCAAAGACCCTTGGACGGACGTATGAGACCCATTTCTAGCAACTTGTCGATTTCTGCCTGGAGTTCTTGTTCTTCCTGCCAAGTGAGTCGGAAAGGTTTCGATCGGATGGGGACCCTATTGCCTTTTAAGGAAATTTTTCGTGAGAGGCATCCCGCACCCGACCTAGACCCGAATCCTTGGTTGAGCCACTTCCAGAGAAGTTCGTTGGTTCACCCAAAAAACGGGCAGCGTCGATTGCATTGATCATAGTAAGTAAATAAAGAATGATAATGTTCAAATTGGAAAGCCCCTGGTAGTCTCACCAATAAATGACAGTAAAAAAAATGGGTAGGGGCAAAAATGACTGAGTAGAAGAAGATATTGTTTATTGAATTGAAGTTTGTCTTCCTTAAAAGCTATTCTAGTAAGGGGACACAAAATACTAATGTCAGCTAATCTAAGGTTGGTTCAACAATGTACAAAACAATAAACTAAAAATAAAAGTAGACTACAGTCCATTAAAGCAAAATAATAAAAAGGAAGGGGAAAGTAAAAGAATAAGAATGAGATGAAGAGAGTGAGTGAAATGGAAATGAATAAAGGGAAGAGAAAAAAAGAGGAAGAGCGTGTGGGGTAAATAAAAATAAAAAAAAGAGGCAATGCGGGGAGGAGTTTCAAATAATAACTAAATTTGATTGGGGGAGAGGCCGCTTGGCAATTCAATGTCTTGAGGGGGTCAAAAGGCACAAGTACCAGGTCGCAAGCTCACAGCGCTGTCAGAGGTAAAAAATGGGTAAGGCAGTTTTTGACTGAAAGAGAAAAGATAAAGGTTTTTATTCATTTTCAAAAGTACGTAATATATATAAACTAAGGATGTACAAAACTAATGGTAGTAACATCTATAGTTGTTCAACAATGTACAAAAGAAAGTAAAAATAAAAATGAGGGAGAAGCTAAAAAAAAAAATAAACAAAAAAAAAAGAAAGAAAAAGGGGAATTGAAGTCCGATAAAAAAATAACAGTGAGGAGGTCGCCTGCATGATCATACCCGTGAGAGGGAAGGTCGGTCATTTCTTGCGATAACCACCGTCCGATCTCACAATTCCCTCCGACCAGACCGAATCACCACAGATAAGTCGCAGTCAGCATCCTTGTCCTTATTTTCCTTGTTCAGCCAACATACTTTTGCTTGAACATGAGCTGGAACTTGTCCCACGTTTCGACCGAATCTTCATAGATCGCCCACCATTGTTCAGCCGAGCCACGTAGGTGTGAGCCTGCCACCAAGAGTGCTTGTTCATCGTCCAATGTTGCACCCTTTCGGATACGGTTCATTGTCCTCAACTAAGACAGAGCATTATCCTTCTTGCCGCCGTTGAAGTTGGAAGGTTCGCCAAAAAGTTTTTCGTTCATCATGATAAAAATAGAGTGTTGTGATAAGTGCTATACAATAAAACGAATCCCCTGGTAGTCTCACCAATAAATGTCAGAGGTAAAAAATGGGTAAGGCAGTTTTTGACTGAAAGAGAAAAAGATAAAGGTTTTTATTCATTTTCAAAAGTACGTAATATATATAAACTAAGGATGTACAAAACTAATGGTAGTAACATCTATAGTTGTTCAACAATGTACAAAAGAAAGTAAAAATAAAAATGGGGGAGAAGCTAAAAAAAAAATAAACAAAAAAAAAAAAGAAAGAAAAAGGGGAATTGAAGTCCGATAAAAAAAATAACAGTGAGGAGGTCGCCTGCATAATCATACCCGTGAGAGGGAAGGTCGGTCATTTCTTGCGATAACCACCGTCCGATCTCACAGCGCTGACAGTAAAATAATTTGTAAAATGGGGCAAAAAGATTTTTTTAAGAGAAGAAAGGTTTTTATTCATTTTCAAAAGTACGTAATATATATAAACTAAGGATGTACAAAACTAATGGTAGTAACATCTATGGTTGTTCAACAATGTACAAAAGAAAGTAAAAATAAAAATGGGGGAGAAGCTAAAAAAAAAAGAAAGAAAAAGGGAATTTGAAGTCCGATAAAAAAATAACAGTGAGGAGGTCGCCTGCATAATCATACCCGGGAGAGGGAAGGTCGGTCATTTCTTGCGATAACCACCGTCCGATCTCACAGCGCTGAGACGTTTGGAATTGCTTTTATTAATAATTGATGTATAGAAGGTCCTTTATCAATACAGCACTGAATAGCTTACTTTTCTGATGTTCAATCTAGTAATTATTCTATCAATATAGGCTAGTATTCCGTATCAAGAGTGAATAGATATGAAATAATAAGAGAAGAGGAGAAACACCAACAAAAGTAAAGCAAGATAATAAAAAAAATAAGAGAGGAGAAAGAGTTGTTCTTTATTTCAAAGTCAAAAATAGATTCTAATATACCTAAAACTATGACTATATGAGAGTGTTAAAGATAATACTTTGTCGGCGACAGAAGTAAAAAGAGAAAAAGAGTTCAGAATCACAATCCAGAGTCAAGATCAATAAAATAAAAATAAAAAAAGAATGAATGAATAAATGGGGGGTTCTAAACTAAAGAGAAAAAACAAGGGAACTGAAACAACGTAATAATAATGGGAGAGAGAGAGAGAAAGGAGAATAAAATAAAAGTAAAGGGAACTGAGACGATGTCTAAAATGAATGAATGGGAAAAGGTGGGAAGAGAAAGGGGAAAAGGAAAAGAAATAAAAAAAAATAAAAGGTTCGCGCCCAAAATAAATAAATTTCAAAACCAGCAGTCTATCGGTAGAGAGCCAATCACCGTCCAATATACACGGCCGAATGGTATTGAATTCCCGACTGCCCGCCAAATATAGATCACTTCCCAACTTGTCAGCGCTGATAGGATAAATTTTTGGGGACAAGGAAAAATGACTGAAAGAAAGGCACGGTTTTTATTTATGAAAAATAGACTTAGTATTTATACAATTAGATAGAATGAATCCCGACAATAGGATTTAGATTAGATTTACAGTAGATTATTACGATTAGAAATTTAAAATACAATAAAATAAAAATAAAATAAAGTCATGTTGATTCACTATCCGCTTTTGACATTTGTGTGGGTGAAGGGGGAGGTGGGGAAAGGAGCCATATTATTGGTCGGAGAATGGAGCCATATCATTGGTCGGAGAGGTCGCTTGCCCTCGTGTGACCTGGATTGTACCAAAAACATATAATCCAGTTTTGATTCTCATAGCGCCCAAACGGCTTTGTGATGTAATGGTCAGCATATGAGACTCTGAATCTCATTATCCGAGTTCGAGTCTCGGCAAAGCCTTGTGGTCTTTTGGCATCTGTTACACTTCATTTTTGTTACTGAATCGTAAGTTGAGTTGTTTTTTGCAGGGTTTTATGTTGTTACGGCTAATTTTGGTTATCAGGTCGTAACTGGAAATTGTTTTTGTAGGTTTTTATTTTTTATAGAGTGAGCACCAGAACTTTTAGGATGAAGTTCATCCGATTGTAGCTACAAATGCTTAAAAATAAAATAGGACTAGAGTTGAAAGTACTGTTATTGTTGCCGTACTTTGATGTTCAATATTGATGACCTTCCAAATTTAGAAAATATATGTTTTTCGGCTCTAACTTTACACATATTTCAGATACAGAGACTCATGTTATACCAATCGAATGCGTATCTAAAACTACCTACTCCGAGGTAATTTATACAGTAAGTTTTAGGATTGAGTTAACAAATTTATCATTTTATTTCTGGAAAATGACAATTCACGTTTTCGATATCGTTTTTACTAAATTCAAATTTATTGAAAAATTAAAGTTGTCGGAATGAAGGTCCGTGTTGTAATTAGGCTTTTTTGTAAAATAAAAATAAAAAAACAAGATGAGAATGTTGTTATTCTTCATATAATATAAATCATTCATCCTTTTATTAGGATGGGATTATGATATAAAACAATTTAACTATTACTACGGTTTGATATAGTGGATAGGTTTATTTTTCAAGGGCATATGAAAAAGTGAAATCAGATCATGACAATCATGGATGCATTGTGCCTGATTCACATCAATGCCACGCTTTATTTTATTTTTATTTTATTTTTTTTTACTTTATTTTATTGCTACATTAATATGCAAAATACAGCAGATAATCTATCGCAATAGAATAGTATGTAGAATAGTCTACCGCAATAGAATAGTATGTACAATAGCCTGTCACAGTAGAATAGCTTTGCCACTCCATTGTTCATTGCAAAATAAAAAAGCTTTTATTGAATAATGATACATAGTCAATACTATACTAAAAGGAAAGAAGATGTAAAAATAGGGGGCCGCTAATAGTAGCTGAGAGAGGTGCGAATCTATATGAATGGTGTAGAAGAAGGAACGATGTACGATGTACGATAAAAAAGGGATTTCTAAAAGGGATCTCTATAAATGGCGATCTCCAAACTTCTAATGAAGCCTAAACAAACATTTATTTCAAACAAAAGACAAGGTTTAAGGAAGCGGATATATGTTTTATTGAAGAAAAGAGATATATACACGTACTAAGCTAAGCAAGACATTTCCCCAAGATTCTAGAATCAAAATGAAAGGGTTTCCCCATGCTTCTTGAAATCCCTTTTCTAAAACCCTTCTAAACTATTTCTAAACAGAAAGCCAAAGCCACCAGGTCCACAATGAGCCAAAAACAGTGAACAGATGTTGGCTCATTCCCGTTGACTTGTCTTTTTTTTTTTTTTTTTTTTTTTTTTTTGGATGTGCGCTCCCATTTTTTTTTTTTTTTTGGATCAACAATCCAGACTGCCGGCGGCGGCGGTTGAATTCACACCCATCTGGCTTTACAGCCTGCAAAATCCAATTAACCTGCAATATACTCTTCTTCGCTTTATATAAAACGAACTACGAAACCGTTCAACTTCAAATTTTCCATGCATCTTTAGAAATATTATACAATCATTTTTTGTCACCAAACAAACCATCCATCTCTCATACAATTAATTGTACAATGCTCTAAAGTTTACGCCTGTAAGCTCACAGCTAAAAGCCTACAGCCATAATAACCGCCTCTACATTATTGCCCACCATTCAACCACACACATACTTGGACATCCACGTTTGCTTGGATCCGCTTTCTAGTCACATACTCCTTCTACTCATACCATTTTTTTTTCCCCCATCCAATATCCCCATACACACACAGAAATACCCCTCCATACCCCCTAAAAATTCAATAAATCGGGAATAGCTCGACCGCGGAGCGCGCGGCTTCGCCGCGCTTTTGCCAAAAGCTTCGGAGAAGCACCCTTTTAAACCCCGAAAAGTTTTTTGAACTCCGCAACCAGTAAACGGCTGTTATCGCTGTTTTTAAATGGGTGATTTTAAATAAAAAAACAAAATAAAGGGTTGAAAGTCAAAATAGACACTCCATAGTAATTTGTTTTTTAAATAAGTAGACTGATAATGGGTGTATCCGGCCAAGAGTGGTACCGAACGATGCGGAATGGTTTAGAGTATGTTACACATAAGTTTAAGATTGATCGGCCGACATTTGTCGTAAATCGAAAAATGGCTTTATGTGTCTAACTTTATACATAGTTTAGGTACAGTGACGTACGTTACACCAATCGAAAGGGCTTGTAAAACTACATATTCTGATGTAGTGTCAAAGATATTGGAGTGGAATTAACAAATGTATGACTTTATTTCTGGAAAATGAGAAAATGACAATTGTTGTATTTGTGATACCCGAACCTATTTCCCATCTTCCACATCTTTATTTATTTATTTATTTTTATACCCTGCTCCGCATTTTTCACTTTGACATTTTGACAGGTACTACCCTATACCTTATTTTATACATACTTCATCACCCGCTAAATTACTTACCCAACATCACTTCAGATTATCCCAATTTGTAACCATTTTATTATGACTCACTTAGAGTAGCTATAGAAAAAGATATGAATATGACATGTTTGAATATTAAATAAAAAGAGTAACCAATTGTATCACTTACTTACCTTTGTGCTTATTTCAACAATTCAGGTTTTCATTATTTTTTTTACTAATTTCAGATTTATGGTGCGGCTCACTTACAATGTCAAATTTTCAATTTTCATTTCAATTTTATGGCTTCAATCGCAGTTTGAAAAATACCTTTTAAAGCCTTTTTTTTTTCCTCCTTCCTTTCTTTTCTTTTTTTTTTTCCCCAAGGCACCGCCATTTCATTGATCTCAATGGGATGATGTTCAACTGGGATTAGTGTCAGGACTAGTTTAGAAGGGTTTTCAGCTCAGGTCTTACGAGATGCATGGGGAACCCCTTTCATTTTGGAGCCAGAATTTGGGACCACTATTAGATTAACCTTCATCTTAGTTTAGTATTGGTTGTCATTGTTATAATTACTACTGAATAAACTTTGTCTTGCCTTTTTCTATCATTTTTTGATTGTCTTACCAAATGTATATACATGGACTTATTATAAGAAGAAAAATACAAACGGGTGTGTGTCCGTACAACAACAAAAAAAAAAGAAGGGACGGCACTTTTTATTGTACCAATAGTAAATAAAAATACATAAACTAATCCTCATTTGCAAGTCTTACAATCTACATCTATTAGCTACACTTGATATGGGAGCGGGAACGAGCAAAAAACAGGACCTTGTTTTCTGTATAATATTTTACAGTTTTCGCGGTGTTTTACAAAATAAATGCACATATCATTTTCCTTTTTTAGTACATCAGATACGTTTCAAATCCTAGGCCAGCCAGCCAAAGTCTTCTTTTTTTGAAGGCTGATAAGTTTTTCTTTTTTTATAAAAAAAAAAAAACTGATGTATACGTTTTGTTCTTAAAGGTCTGAATTACCATGTTTATACATTGTTTTTTTGAGGTGGTCATTTTTTAAAAAACTATCAGCTTTCTAGGATCATGCCTAATATTTGACATTATAAGTGAGCCGCACCATATTAAAAAATTAAAGTTGTTGGAACGGGTCCCAAATATCAGGAACAAACTTCCGTGCGCAGATCGACACTGGGAACACAAATAGATCGTCATCAGGATCAGCAATCGACATTTAAAGCGATTTTTCGATTTACCAAAATGTCGACCGATTAATCTTAAACTTATGTGTAACATACTCTAAACAATTCCGCGGCGACTGGTACCACTCTCGGACGGATAAACCCATTTTCCGTCCACTAATTTGGAAAACAAATTACTATGGAGTGTCTATTTTGTAGGGTTCTTAATTTGGTCCCGTTCCGATTATGGTATTGAGGACTTTTCCTCAATACCTGGTACCGATCAATACCAATACCTACTAGTGGTATTGTCCCGCTAAGGTATTGGTATTGCTAATCCCGCTGATAGGTATTGATCAATACCGATAAAATTTTAGATTTTGATAGATATGGCAGGCGGCATTTGAAGTTATAAACGATATAAAAATAAAAAAAGTTTTTTTTTTGCTTTCTTTTTATTACTTTTATCTTATTTTTGTTATGTATCCCACTGCATTTAATTCTTTTATCCCTATGCTATCGCAAGAAGACCTAGATCATGGTGGCTTGGATTTTAACGTGGAGCCCATTACCTCACCATCAGGACCTCATTCAGGATCTCAATCAGTAACACATCTGACAGTTGAATCTCCATTTCCACTCTCACTTCATTCACCAAGTCAAATGACAGCTCAAACAGCTCGATCTTTATCTCAAGCCATAACTTCATTAAGTCAACCAGGAACTCAATCCTCAATTCAATCCTCAACGCAATCCTCAACTCCATCGTCAGCTCAATTGCCACCTCAATTGCTAACTCAATCTCCAAGAAAACGACAACGAAGTAGCCCGGTATGGACGTAGTTTGACTTATGTCGTATTCCTGGTTCCTGCTTAGCAATATTTACATCAAAAGCATCTATGCCATCATCATTTGTATATCCGACTTATCTCTTCACTCTATTTTTTACCCCTGAATTCCCCACTTATTCTCACACTTGTCATTCAACACATCAGATAGCACACAGCCTCAACTATCCGTAGTCTCAAATACACCGTTATCATGCTCCCATCCACAGCCACAAATATCTTCATTTTATTATAAAAAGACTTGACATTTTATCAATTAAATAAAAACCATATCAATTGTATCACTTATTTTACTCTTGTCTTTTATTTATATCAATCATTTCATTTTTTTAAGTGAATACTCATTTTTTATCCAAACTCCGATTTATTTATTTTTTCTCTCTGTATCATGTCTAATCTCAATGAATTTGTCTCTGCTCTCGAAGGTGAAGCTATTC